CGGATCGAATTTCCGTCCGGTCACTCCGCGCCTTCCGTAAATTTCGAGTAACAATTAAAATACAACAGAGCACCACTTGGGCTGCCTGAGCAATTAAGCACTGCAAGACATGCCACATAAGTACGTACGTACCGCCTTAAAATTTCATAAATTTTATGCGAAATTATTTTTAAAATTATGTGCGACTTCAGAGTCATTGTAATTGTCATGTTTATAAATCAATATTGTTTTAAAAATGTAACACAAAAATTGAATTTATGCATTTCATCCACCAAATTTATAATGCTCTGATAATAGGGTGAACCCGGAAATGCAAAAGTAACTAACTTTTATGTATCTTAATAAAATGCATCTTCGGTCAACTACCTGTATATTCTTAATGAGAAAAAGATGCAATATGCGATTAAACAACTTTCAAAATTTCACCTAAGACACAGTTAAAACAAAAGAAATTTAAAAACTCAACTTTCGTGGTAACGCAACATGAGAAAGAATGCGGTATTTTCCTTTTTTGCCTGTTCATCACTGTTTGAAAAAAGATATTCAGTTTACACATCCGAGTGTTCATTTGGACCCTTTGTCCAAAGATACACGTCTTCCTGTAAACTCACCTATGTGTTTAGGTCGTGACTCATTTTACCCTCTAGCAACAACTTAGGGGTTCCGACAGTACACAGCGGTATTACTTGTTTTCGGTTATATATTATTTGTATCTTAGAACAAACTGTATGAATAAACACACCAGTATGTTCACATCAGGTTTCGTGTTTGTTGACATCATGATCGTTGACACCATGCAACGTTACCCGGCGGGGTTGGTGGGTAGGCTTGAATCCTAACCACAAGGGAAGCTCACCGCGAGAGCACGACACCTTCCGGTTAGGATCCAGCATAACCGCGAGGACCTCTCACCTAGAGTCCCTTTATACTGAGAGTCAAGACAATTTGAATCCATTTCTGATTGGTTCCCGTATTTTAGGCCTCCACAGTGTCACAAACGGGAATAAAGATTACATTTTCACCAATTGCAAAGATTATAATCTGGAATGGACCAGGGAATTACATGTTCGGCAAGGAACAAACGGAATGAGAGAAGGAACGGAGAAAGGAATTTGAGAATGGGCCGATCAAAGATTACGAAAAACGTTCAATTTCTGTAATCTTTATTCCCGTTTGTGACATCCATGAGCCGAATTGTCTTGACTCTCAGTATAAAGGGACTCTACTCTCACCTACCGCGAGGCCTGAAGTCTTCGCCAAGAGAAGAAAATGCCCCTGCGGTTAGGTCCGTGCAATGACGGAAACTTATCACTTCACCGAGACTCGTGCTCGTTAACGGACGCATACCAGTGCCTTCAAACAGTGGTGAACGCAACCATGTATACCTGGGTTTTACTCTGCATTTAGGATACTTGTGAGCCAGGCTGGGGACCCTACCTCACTGCGAGGACCTCCGTGAACGATGAATTTCTTTTCAGCGGTTTGACTTGGGTTAATTTTGTTTTTTCGCTGATGGGAGGCTCGCATTCACCGATTCGAACTTAACCCGTTTTCATTACTAGCTTTTTCTGTATCAGTTGATTTTGGGCTATTCAAATTGAACATGTTTTGCTTGAAATTTTGATGACGAAACATATATTGTGGTGTTTTCATTGTGAAGGAACTGGGAAAGAGGCAGTCGCAGCATGTTAAAACCGTCCATGGCCTAGCTTTATGAATTCGTAACAACGTATTTTTTTATTTTTAAAAATGGAAATCTGTCATCTGTGGCATGGTTATGCAGAATTTCATCAGTTTTTTCTTCTTTTTTTGTATTAGTGATGCCCAAAAATTTTAAATTTAAAAGAAAAAAAAATTGGGGCCCTCTGTTTTTACGTAAGCTCCAAAATATTTTAGTGTCCCTTAGAATCTGATATCTGCCAAATTAATTCATGCCATAGAGGGTTAACACTGTCTGAATCAGCGCTTGATTTTCGCCGGAGAGCGATTGCAGAGGAGAGAGCCATGTGCTTGAAAATGTGTTAAAAAGTTATTCACTCATTGTAAGTATGTAAGTGTTAAAGGCACTCACCCCGCTGTCACAAATTTATCGTCATACGCTTGAATTCAGAGATTTCCAAGTTGCGTAGTTTCCGAGCTCTGATCCTGCCCCATCCCGAGAGGGTTGTTCCGCAAATTTCGCAATCGCCGGGCAAATCGCCGGCAGTATCGAGGGAGAGCTGATTGACCGAAATAACGTCAAACCTGTCAATTGGCGGGGGCAGCGCGGGTCCCCCGTTTTACAGTTGATGTTAAGTTTAATTAACACAAACAAAAACGGCCCGCCTCGCTCGAGTGATATTGAAAATAGCATATTGGCTCCGAGTCTTGGATAGTTCGCGCAAAAAGTAGCCGCGTCGTTGCCGCGTTCGCAAGCTCTTGTCGAACATGGTGTTTGCCGCATGATAACGGAATTGAATGAGTAGCATGGTAGATGATAATAGAATTGAATGAGTAGCATGGTAGATAATAATAGAATTGAATAGGTAGCATGGTAGATGATAAGGGAATGGAGAATTTGCATGCAAATTTTTTATTGCTTCATGTGGAAGTGCTTAAAGATCTGATCTCGCAGTACTTTTTAATACTTTTTTTCTGATATGGGAAATAGTATAAAAATGGATTTGAAAGTGAGAAAATGCACAGCCTAGTGACGTCATCTGGCGGCATTCACCATTTAAACACACATATTTTATCAGATTAGATCATTTTGTCGTATCGTCTCCAATAATTGTTCAATTCATGAACCAAGGGTATCCTCGTGTTCAGTTCACTCAGTAGTTTCCACTTGAACATGAAATTCATCAAATTTCTGACACCTGCAAATTCTCTATTGAATAAGTACCGAGCCCTTTGCTTCCCTCAAATTTTCGAAATCGAATTTCCTGCAAAATTCGTGTAATCTCTTTTGAATGACATCACTTAAATAGCTGAAGCAGCAAAATTTGTCTTATTGTTATGAAAACCAATATGAGAAAGCCGTAAGTAATTCATAACTCAGGGGCCGTCTCAATGTACCTAATGCTCTAGGGGGAGGGGGGTCAAGGAAAGCATTACGCCATTTTGTTTTTACATGTTGAAGGATTGGGAACTACATCACAAGAGCGTAGCAAGGGGAGGGGGGTTGTCAAAACTGCCGGAAGTAAGCAATTTAGGGACGGCCTCCTATTGTTTTTTGCGCCAAATGATTTTCTACTACTCGTAATCACCTCTCTTTCACTATCTTTTATCGTTTAAAGATGATCAGATGATTCATTAGCATCGCGCTAATGGAGCATTTGCCCGGAAAATTTGTATTTCTTCATCTGAGAATGCTTATAGTGAGCCAAGTAAGCAATATTTTTTTTTTTAAAAAAAAATTCCGATCTATGAAAATGGGAAAATGTAGATTTAAATTGCGAAAATGTACCACCGTGTGATGTCATCTGGCGGCATTTCCCGTTTAAGCACATATATTTTCGCAGATTAGATCATATGATCATATCGCCTCCAATAATTGCTCAGTTGAGAAATTAAGGATATTCTCGTGTTCAGTTGAGTCGGTAGTTTCCGATTAAATAGATAAAATTCATCAAATTTCAGACACATGTAAATTCTCCATTTTGGGTCTTTTTTTTGCTCCCATCTCGCAACGCATCCCAATGAAGGAGCCTCCGCTGACCGTGATGAAGTGACTTAACATCGAACGGCAATTATCCCGGACCGCGATGGTTTGCGTCTCCGAATGGTCAGCGTAATTGAAACTCGAAGGTCCGCTCAGTCGCAATCGCAGTCGTCGCCACTTGCCCGAGTGGCTCCATTTTCCTCTCGAGTGTTTTTCAGCTCATCTTAACCACTTTTTTGGTCCCTCAGAGTCCACGAGAATCTCACCTCATCCCAGCTTGACGAAAATCCGTGCACTTTCTTGTAGCAAATCCCAATTCTCATCTCCGCCGAGTCACCCGACCAATTAAGATTTTACAGCCAAGCATCCGTACAAGTTGTTCGATGTGTTAACGTGTTACAGAGAACCTGATTCATACTTATATTCTCTAGCACTCAAAAGCAGTTATATCTACGCGTCATGCCGTTCTCCAAGTAGAATTGATCGCGATTAGTTATGCGATTTCATCGGAGAATACGATCGGATTTTATACGTCGATTTATTGCAATATGATCGGATAAAAAATTGTGATAAATTGTGGTTTCATCGCATGAATTTGCAATATAATCGCGATGTATCGCAATATTACTGGGGAAAAATCGGGTGGATTGAGATAATATTTCGATTTTATCGAACGCGGTCTTAAAGAGGTAAAATTGCGAAAAGGTCGAGGATAATCGCTCAGTTTTTGATGGCCCTAGCGATTTTATCGCCGAAAAATGGTAAAAAAATCCCAACTTAATTTTAAAATATTGCGATTTTTCCGTTGAAAAAAAGCTATACTTGGGTAAGGGAGAGGGGGGGGGAGAGTAAAGTTTGTTGGTCTCAGTTTAAAAACAAATAGACACTATCATATTTCTACGGACGGATTTAACAGTTAAATAGTTGGTCTTAATGAGTGTGCACGCAATCTCGTTACTCAGGGTTTTGGTGTTTCAGAATTTGAGCAGTGTGTGTAGACGAAGGGCCGTGCTCACTGGGATTTGGATGTCCTTCTGTCAAACGGAACTATGTGCATTAAGACATGGATCCCTAAGACTCATAAGAATATATGCAAAACAGGGCTACGTCATAATGCACATAGTTCCATTTGGCACTGTAAAAACTTTACAACACTGTATAGTTTTTAGTTGCCTAGTGATTCTCCCTGCTGTTCTGTTTATGCGTTAATATATAAAAAGTTACTGCGATCCAGTTTGGTTTCCTCTGGTATTTGAGATTGTTTATTTACTGATTAGTTTAGCTATTGAAAATAGCTCCAGGCACCTTACGAATACAATTCTAGCTGAATCGTAACCAGAAAACACATTTTACTTACGTCTATTTCGTTGTAGAGTCTTTCTTTCTCGCTTGGTTGGTCGAGGGCTTTCCCAATTACCCATGTAAACGACAGCATGGAAATCAGTAGAAAGACGATTGTCCTGGCGATTGTGGTCATTTTTCTGTTTTAGCGGCAACCTGTAACTAGAAAAACACAAAATGTATTGTACCAAGCAGAGATGAAATAATTGCATTTCTTCTTTTTAAAATATTGCACCCTCAGCAGCGCCTGAAGGTAGAATTCATTGACGCAATTCATTTACATATTCACAGTTGAACAGACAATAGACACCTAGTTTTGATGGAATTAACTGTAGTAAAATTTTCATTTTTTCAGATTGAACGTCTGTATAGAAATATCACAATGTAAAGCGATTTTGTTTAGTGACCGACTCCGCCCGTTGTGAAATTCCGACAGTCAGGAGGCACTCTCATCTACCAGCCAATCCAATCGCAAGTCATGCACACGCATATCGCCTGTCAGGTGCTGCATCAGATTGCCTATTCGAATGGGTTGTCAACATTTTTGCAACATTTTCTATCAAGACCGTTTCCACTCACTCATTGCCAACTCCAATTCTGCAAATCACCCCTGAGAAGTTTTGCAAGTCACATAAGGTTTGGCAACTTAGCGGCAATGTCCCACGACTCATCCAAATCTCGAGGTTTGTAATGGTCAACGCAGTTGAGTCAGGCATTGTGAAGTTATGATGAAGACAGCCGGAGCGCCTGCAATTTTTTGTATATCGACGGTGAAACTACCAAACCACGTATCTCGTTTGCGGTGTTTAAAAATCTCCGCTCACATTTTATTTTTTTGAAGTAGACCAAATCAATATCATTCCTTGAAATTTTCACAGAATTTTCTCCGCACAAAGAGGAAAAATCACGGAAATTTTCAAGACTGGACGTTAAGTAGCTTTTCATTTAAAAAATAAAGTATGACAGGAAGTCTGCGACGTCGCAAACCGAGATACGTGGTTTGGTAGTTTCACCGTCGATATGCAACGCAGACATCCCTCGAGGACGAATAGTTGCATCCGAAGCGCCTTTAGTTCTTTCCGCTTGTTTTAAGGAAATGGATAACTTTTTTACAGTAGGATATCGTCTTTGTACTGAGAAAAGACGATTAGAGTAGGCAATAAAATGGAAGTAAAGAATCAAAATAAATAAAATAGATGATGGTTTTTGTGGCTGTCACTCGTCCGTTTATTTCATCGGCAATTCCCCATTTACCTGTATTTAAAATGTATTCCTCACATTTACATACCCAGGTTTCAATGTATTCCTGATTTGAAAGGCTTTTACACATCATGCCGTATCATATATACCTACTTACTAATCACATCTTTAACGAAACCAGTGTAGTGGCGAGGCGTGAATGATCGATCCTCGATATTTCTCCATTTGAAGCTGTGGTAAAGAGTCGATTATGTGAATCGAATGTGTCTTCGTTGCGAACACCCTGCTTATTGATCATTTTCCATAAGTTTAGATGGTAGATCAATCGATATATCGCAAAGCACGCCTCGGCACTGTCTTGGAATCGTGTGGTAATAAGTGGTCATAAGTCATAGGTCTGACACTATTTTCAGAAAAGGCCCTAGCGGGAGTCCTTCGCTTATAGACCAAAGTTTTACTGTCTATAAAGAAACTGTTTAATGCAATTTTAAAATTGTAGAATAAGGGCTTCGGGGGATAGGACTTTAATTATAGGGTCTCTCCTTAGGGAATATGTGAAGTCAATGAGAATCATAGCAAAATTTCAGAATATTATAATAATTGCAAATATTTTTTGGAAACGCAATCGATGGAAACCGTGCGCGGTGAAGAGATGCACAAATGCGCAATCGATTTTTTTCGTGACCACAGTTTCAACTCTAATCACCTGCAATTTTTGAAAATCAGTCAACTTGATGGATCGATCAAATTTTCAGTTAAATCGGTTGAAACATTTGTTTAAACCAACCGAAACCTTAGGTTACTCCGAGACATGTCAGGAACTCAGGATTTAGAAAATGTCCAACATACTCACGTTTTCCTAAAATTCATTTATAGATTATTGTTATTGATTTTCGATCTACGAGTGGCTCGGATATTAAATTACTAGTGAACACTTACCTCCGTGTGAACACTTTCAAACAGAAACTTATGCCGTAAAGAAGCGTGGCGTGACGGATGAAAGGAAGCACTCTTAATCACACCGTGAGTGGTGTTCTTTTTTTAAAAATGTGTTTTGCCAAATATTACATGAAATTGATAATGTGACATGAAACCTACGGTGGCAGAAAATCCCGTTTGCATCACATGGCAACGTAGGAGGTGTATGCAGATTTTCACGGAAGACTGTCATAGTTTCGCTCTCGAAGGCGAAGCAGAGAAACTAATTGAAGTTCCTCATGTCTAAATAGAACTAATTAAATGCAATTAATTAGTCCAGTCTTTATCTTCAGGTTTCAAGCTCTTAGCAGGGAGACAACAGCGTGCCATCATCCGAGACGCCGATTAGAAAGGCGCCAAAAACAGGCGAAAATCCCGCTCCAAGAATGTTGCAACATTGGTCTTAAAAACAAAAGTTATGCAAGGAGTTTGCATTGCCACCAACATAGGAGAGAAAAACGTACGAACAAATGGGTGTTCCCATCGAAAAATACACTATAATGGACTTTTAAGAAGAAGTGATTTTTAGTGTTCAAGTGAGAAATTCTTTAGGTTCAACTCTCCCTCTCCATTTGTCGCTAAATGGGTCAGTTGCGCTGGTCACAGAATTGTGTTTTGTTCCTTGATTCTAGTAGATTATCTAAAACTATTATGATCCGTCCAAAACGCAACTTTCTACGTTCAATATTAACCTTGATATCGTCCTTTGAAAAGTTGGGAATTTGACGTCATCCAACGCGATAGTGACACCCCTGGTTTCTTCCACTTTGGTTTTAACAGGCAGGGAGACAAACATTAGTACTGGTTACTCCACGTGAAACGCGGATAGAAGCAAGGTGCAAGAAACCAAGGTCACTACCGCGGTGGATGACGTCAAAACCCCAACTTTTCAAAAGACGATATCGCGGTTAATATTGAACGTAGAAAGTTGCGGTTTGGACAGATCGTAATGTTTTAGCTAATCTACGAGAATCAGCATCAAAACACAATTCTGTGACCAGCGCAACTGACCCACTATTAATAATCAAGATTCAGACTCAAGACATCATTAGGATGATTTACACGAGGAAAGAAGAATATTAGTAGTGACTGGATTTCAGGTCGCACATATACACTGCACAGAAAACCTTGTCACTGCCTCTAAATTTTTGCCAGTGTCATTCATGCATCTGGTCATTTCTATAAACTGAGCGAAAATAATGTCAGGATTCTAGTATACTAGCAACTATCCGGAATAATCTACTAACCGAGTAATTAAGTAATCTAGTAGTCTTCCCTGTAAAATCCATAAAGTTTACTTATGTTTATGAAAGTTTGACACTTCTTTATTTCAATGTCATGTCGAGACAGCGTAGTGTGTTTTTCTTTTTGTGGCACGAGATTGTCTTAAAATTTCTGAGCAAACACTCAGATCCATCGATAGCATTTAATCAGCTGACAGGGCTGAAATAGAAAAACTATGGAATAAATTGTGGAGGAAGTTAGTGGGTGGCACATTTCTTGTGTTTTTCAAGTCTGCAACGAAACAATTTGTGGGAGAGAGTGGCAGGTTGTTTATTGCCACGCAAAAGTCAAGAAAGAAAAAACTGAAAAAAGGGATCCAATCGGCTGAAACTGATCCACCTCTTAACATAAAGTATGCTGCGACACTTCGAAATACCTCTAAAGCACCGCTTCAGCTCCCACCTCTACTTTTACCTGTGGTTGGTTAGGTTATGCATCAAATTAACAAGAAAATCCTGCAGTTCAAAGACGTCGACTGAGGGAATGCATAATAGACCCAATACAGTAATTATGAATCGCTCCCTCTACGGGTGCTCTAACTGCTGTCTCGTTAGAAATTCCATCAATTATTCCGTTTTCATCACCCAGTTAATCTCTGTGAAAAAAAAAACAGCTTTATTCTAACGGGATCAACAAATCAATTCTTTAGACTATCTTGGTTGAATTTTGAAGGGAACCCAGCCCCAAAAATTTGGTGTTGTTTGCTCTTTTCACTATAATTCAGTAGTATCGTCGTGGGATTCCAAGAGAAAAAAGAGGGGAAAAAAACTGAGAAATCCAGCGAATTTCTTTTTTGTAGTGAAAAGACCTGGCAGCTTTCAACTAGGTGAATAATGACTTTGTGAATAGCTTTTTTTTTCTTCCTTGATTGCCCCTAGGTAGGGAGTTTTTATCCGGAGCACAGCGCGGGCTTTGAAGTGAGAAACTGTCTACTACGTTTGATTAAAGTTTATTCTACTCCAAGAATTCTCGCCTCATGGCACTGCATTGGAGCTCATTTTTTTAACACCAGGTAGTGTTGAGTCTTTTGGGGAAAAGCGGTAGCATTGTTCGTAGGTAAATCCCACTCCTGATGTCACTCTTGTTATCGCGGTGGTGCACAGAAGATCGAGTCCATTAGAGAGGTCGGACATGAAATTTTTTAATAAAACTGCAAATTTTGATATTTAATTCGCCAATTTTTAAATTTCAAGGGGTGCTCCTAAATAAAAATTACACGAGAAAATCGATGGAGCCACTTTTAAAATTTTAACGTTTTGAATTAACAGCGTTATAAGCTTTTAAAGTTTAAAAATTTTGTCCGACTTCTCATACTAACTCGATCCACTATGCGGCGAAGCCCGAGGTCCTCGTATTAATTCGAATGACGAGAAATGAGAAGTGACAGAATTGGACGTATTTCTGTCAAACGGAACTATGTGCATTAAGACATGAGCACCCACAAGAATACATGCATAACAGGACTCACGTCATAATGCACATAGTTCCGTTTGATAGAAATGCATCCAATTGAGAGATAAAATGAAAGGAAAACAAAAACAAGCATAGTTTATTCATCTGATAGGGGCTACGAGTACGCCCTCTGAATCCTCGCTGCGCCTTCAAACGGCGTAAGGACGCTTACTGCCCTTCGAAGAACGCTCGCTCAGTCATATTTCAAATTCTCATAGAAAGTTGAATCATCTAGAGGTGCCTTGGTA